ATTCAACTTGTGAACGAAATGAACAAAATATTGTGCAACGTAGCACAAGTTGTACAGCAATACTTTGGAAACGAAGCTCATTATTCACATAATTATTAGAATTGTTTAATCATTCAACTTGTGAACGAAATGAACAAAATATTGTGCAACGTAGCACAAGTTGTACAACAATACGTTGGAAACGAAGCTCGTTATTCACATAATCATTAGAATTGTTTAATCATTCAACTTGTGAACGAAATGAACAATCTGAATAGCAATTCAAAAATACAAATCTTAAATTACACAATTCGGACCATATAAATGTACTTGCTCCCCCCCCCCCAGTGGAACAGTGAAATGTCTGGGGACTTCAAATGCTAGAAACCAAGTTTCGATACCCGTGGTGGGCATATTACAGATAGCCCATTGTGTAGCTTTGAGCTTAACTTCAAACAAATATATGTAACTTCTATTTCATTCTTTTTTTTGTTTGTTTCTGCTAGTGTATTTGTGTTCTGGAAGAATATCTTATTCTCAAGCATAGATTAGTTGTTCTAAAGTCCAGAAGTTCTTATCGATCTTTTATTACTATTTTAATACTATTATTTCATACTTCTAAACCATCATGACTATCTAAAGAGGTTTTTCCTAAAGGCACATATTAATAATAAAAATCGCCTAGTTCTAATACGGAACTACATAATTATAATAGCGTCTCTACTACATGCTGCAAACTTTGTACTTCTGCCTAGATGATGCAGCTTTCTTTTCTTATTAAAAGAACTGCGTTGATGAAATGTATGGCACTGTATTGTTATAGCTTAAAATTACTTAATGCTTTTCAACATAAAAGATATTGAAAGATCAAAGACACATCATAATTAGATAATGCGTTCGAGTAATGAATAACATCCTGTAAATAAAAGTATATACAGTCGTAAGTTAGTTACATGTATTTCATGATATTCAAACTGTATTATTACTTCGAAATGATGCGAATATGTCTTTCAGATCTGTTTAAAAACCGAGTTATTTTTAAAATGTCTTTTTTTCACATTATCTATGCTTACACTAAATTTTGTAACTAATTTACTTGGAGAACAGAAATTTAAAACGTATTCTATCTAGTTTAAACAAAATACAACATAAAACAAACAAACCGTATTCGGGTACACCACAAAACCATTAGTATATTACTCCTAACGAGTCATAACGTTGCTCACATGCAACTTTTGTGTAAGTTTCAAATATTCAGAAATTGTAAGAATATATGTTGCATAGTTACTGTGTTGAAGACCAGACAAATCTGTTTCAAATCTGTAAATAAAAATAAGAAATGATATAACATTGCACCTATACATTAAAGTTATTGAGTAATAATTTCAGAGTTATATTAAAGTCTTTTTAACAGATATAGTAAATTATGACTTCAGGGGGAAATACCCCGTTG